TTTTTTTTTTTGTACTGGGGATCAAACTCAGATTCTTGTACCTGCCGAGGCAGGCAGTGGGGCTACTGAGCTAAATCCCTGGCCCCTTTGCTTCTCTCTTTTACTCTCCTCTTTCTCCCTCTTAAATTGCTCTACGACCTTGTCCTGCACCCAGAAACTATGTTCTCTGACCTTGCACTTTCCAGGTGTTGGAAGATCTGTTGAAGACTCCTGGCCATTGACCAGAGTATATATTCCTGGGTCCAGTCCACAGGAAGTTCTGAAATACTAGATGCAACAGAATGTGTGAGTATAATTTAAGTGATGTCAAAGTATCAGTAAGCAAACCACAAGAAGAGAGATTTAACTTGGAAAAGAGACCACTAACATAACGAGAGAAGAGGACCAAGAATTTTACTCCTAACTTTTACAGTTAGGTTGGTTTCCACAGGGCAGGCTGCAGACAGACTTTACTTACTGTGACTGGTTATCTTTGCTCCATTCCATCCTGAGGTCTTCTTCTGACTCTGAAATGGGGAATCAGGGTGAAGAATCTATTAGCACTGACCACTGAGATCATCCAGCACAACCTTCTAATTTCGCACATAGGAAACAAAGATGAAATCACAAAGCTGGTTAGTGGTGGAGCTCAGGTCTCAAGTTTAAAAAAACAATGATAGTACTATGCTGCCTTCATCATGTTGTAGCTGTCAGCCTTGTACAGAGCAGGCATGATCATGGAAATAAGGAGTGGGGAAAACAGAAGTCCTGACACTTCTTTTCCTTCAAAGAAGTCTATCTGACATCTATGGTTAGGGAAGAAAAGACACTGAAGCTTCTTTACCAAACTCTTAATAGTTAATCTTTGTCTGTTCTCTCCTATCTCACCATAATTCTTTCCCTTGCTTTGTTCTTTGCATAAAAATTGAGGGGGAAAAAAAAAGCACGAGTAAAAGAACCATGGAAACATGTCTGGAAGTACAAATGCTAGAAAGAATAGGCACACTGGGCATAGTACCGCAGGCCTGTGGTCCCAGTACTCAAGAGGCTGAGGCAGGAGGATCGCCTTAAGTTCAAAGCCAGCCTGGACTACATAGTGAGTTCAAGACCAGTCTGGCTACACAGTGAGATTGTGCCTCAAAAACAAAACAAAACAGGGCCAAGGATTTAGCTCAGTGGTCCTGCCACCAGCCTCGCAAGCACAAGGACCTGAGTTTGATCCCCCCTACCAAAAAAAGAAACAACAAAACAAAATGAAACAGAAAGAATAGGCACACTTCTTCCATTTGCATCCTCTTTTTAAAAATTAATTAATTAATTAATTTCTGCAATACCAGGGATTGAACTCAGGACCTTTGCTTATGAGGCAGGCGCGGTGCCACTGAGCCAAATCCCCGGCCCATACACCCTCTTTTTCAACCTCACTTCACCTGCTGTTTAAGGCTAGAATTTTAAAGCAGATGGACAGCTGATCAGCCATGAATCTTGAGCTGAAGAGTTAAGGATAAGATTGTTCTGACCTGTGTGTTTCCGGATCCTTTTCAGCTTATGTTGCTTTGAAGTCTAGAGAAGGACACAAAAAAATAAAATAAAATTAGGTTACTGCATTCGTCAGCTTTATGTTGCTGGGACAAAGTACTCAATTCACACACCTTAAATGAGTAGTTCAGTTTGTCTCACAGTTTCAAAGATCCAGTCCATGATGGGCTGGCTCAGTGACGAAAACATCACGGCACAGGGACAGAGTAAGCTGCTTACCTCATGGCAGCCAGGAAGCAGAGCAAGCAAGGAAGAGCCAGAGAGGAAGGGGCAGAGGCCGGTGCAGTCCCCAAGGCCACACCAGACAAAAGCAGGAGTGCGCTTCCCTAATCCAGGCATCTCTCAAGCCAGTCAAGGTGACAATCGAGATTAACTGTGAATTATGTTCTAGATTAGCAACTGACAAACAGCGCACCTCATAGAGGATACTGACAGCTGGCATCTATAACCATGGCATTAATTATCACCACATTCATTCATTTATGAATCATTTATTGAGTACCCAATTCTAGATATTCCGTGGGGTGCTGAGACTATAAAGTTTAGTATGATCCCTATACTGTATTGTAGGAACTTACACTAGTAAGGAGCGGTTGTCCAAACAGGTTGTTAAAATACCACATGGTAAAAGCTGTAACAGAAAGCAGGGCATGGTGGCACACCAGGGCCTGTGATCCTAGCACTTGGGAGGCTGAGGCAGGAGGATTTCTGGGAGTTTGAGGCCAGCCAACACTACATAGTTTAAGTCCAACCTGAACCACGGAGCAAGACCCTGTCTCAAAAAACAAAAACAAAAGCTGTAGCAGAAATACTGGCCAGCTTAGGCTACACAGCAAGTTCATGACCAGCCTTATCTAAAATTTTTTTAAAATTAAAAAAGTGAAAAGGCGGAAAGAAGAAAGGGAAAGGGAAAGGAGAAAGATAAATGCTAGGGAATGCAGAGGACAGCGATTAACTTCCTAAGGGAGAAAGGAAGAATAAATGGCCACTTCTACTGAAGTTTGAAAAATCTGCAGATTTTTAGGTGAAAAAAAAGCATGGTAGGCTGGTGGTAATGTTACCGAGAAGATCAGCACGTTATGATTGTCAGGTGCTTTCTTGCTAAGTTGCTGAGACAATTACACTGTACCCAGAGTCTCAAGATGCAGATGGAGAAATTATCAGACTTGAGCCACTGGCACAAGCCAATTATCCCAGCCCTGGAGAAGCTGAGGCAGGAGGACCATCATGAGTTTGAGGCCAGCCTGGACTATGGAATGAGACCCTGTCTGAAAAAACAAAAACAAAACAAGAAGGAGGGGAAGAAGTTGAAAAGGAAGAAAGAGAGGAGGAAGGAAGAGGGGAAGTTGTTATCAAACTCTGATTTAGGGACTTTTTTTTTTTTTTTTTTTTTTTATCGGGTCCTTGCACTTGCGAGGCAGGCAGCGGAACCACTGAGCCAAATCCCCTACCCTGGTACATTTTTACTTAGAAAAAAAAAAAGCCTGACATGGTGGTGCATGCCTGTATAATCCCAGCACTCAGCAGGCTGAGGCAGGAGGGTCACAGTAAATGTGAGGTCAGCACTATATAGTGAGTTAAAGGCCAGGCCAACCACATAGTGAGAACTTGTCTCAAAAAATAAAGTGTGTGTGTGTGTGTGTGTGTGTGTGTGTGTGTACAAATATATAAATGTATATATATATATATAT